CCATTGTTATTACATAGATAGGCCCGGTGTGTGTATACATACATAAAAAAATTGAGTAGTTGCATACTATTTTTTCCATGAATTCATAAGTCCCAAAAAGAAAGGGGGTCCAGGGGTTCTCCCCCGTGAATATTTTGATTCCTAGAAGGCGGGAAATGAGTTTTCCCGACTTCTGAGGTGTGTTTTTAATTACTTTTAAGTTCTTCAAAATTCAAGGTTTTCCCCTCTTAAAAACGGTCAGGTAAATTTAGCCCATTGTTATTACAGTAAATAGGCCCGGTGTGTGTATACATACATAAAAAAAAATTGAGTAGTTGCATACGATTTTTTTCCATGAATCCATAAGTCCCAAAAAGAAAGGGGGGTCCAGGGGTTCTCCCCCGTGAATATATTGATTCCTAGAAGGCGGGAAATGAGTTTTCCCGACTTCTGAGGTGTGTTTTTAATTACTTTTAAGTTCTTCAAAATTCAAGGTTTTCCCCTCTTAAAAACGGTCAGGTAAATTTAGCCCATTGTTATTACAGTAGATAGGCCCGGTGTGTGTATACATACATAAAAAAAATTGAGTAGTTCCATACGATTTTTTTCCATGAATCCATGTCCCAAAAAGAAAGGGGGGTCCAGGGGTTCTCCCCCGTGAATATTTTGATTCCTAGAAGGCGGGAAATGAGTTTTCCCGACTTCTGAGGATTTTTAAAAATTACTTTTAAGTTCTTTAAAATTCAAGGTTTTCCCCTATTGAAAATTATTATAATGAATCAATGAATCCAAAGAGAAAAGGGAGGTTGGGGTTCTTCCCGGGAAAATGTTAATTTCTAAATGGTGGGAAATGAGCTTTCCCGACTTCTGAAGTATCGTTTAGCGATTTTAATTTAAGTTCTTCAAAATTCAAGGTTTCCTCTTTTGAAAACGGTCAGGTTAATTTTTCCACTTGTTATTACAGTAAAGGTCTTATGTGTGTATAAATACATACAAAAAATGAGTAGTTGGATACCATAAATCCCAAAAAGAAAGGGTGATCCGGGGATTCTCCCCCGGGAAAATTTTAATTCGTTGATGGTAGGAATGAGCTTTCCCGACATTTGAAGTGTGTTTTAATGACTTTTATGTTAATTCTAATTTTCTAAAAAAAAAAAAAAAAAAAAAAAAAACC